TGAAGCAAAGAGCATACTTCCTGCGGACACTTTTTTGGCTGAGTGGCCCATCTTGTTATTTACTATCATTGCCTCTAGTGTGTGGGAAGAAGGAGAAATGTGACACACAATTATTGGCATGACGCCATTGCAAATCAGCCTCGCGTTGCACTTTCGAGAGGAAAGTGGTAGAAGACTTGTATTGGTGCGAAATCGGATGATGCAAGCAAATGTGCCACGAAATTGGCAAGTTGACGCCCAATTGGGTCCCACCATACAACTCTCTCTCTCTCTCTCTCTCTCTCTCTCTCTCTCTCTCTCTCTCTCTCTCTCTCTCTCTCTCTCTCTCTCTCTCTCTCTCTCTCTCTCCCTTTCACTCACTCACACACATACACTCACACTCTAGACCTCCCAAGTACTCCAATAAAATCGAAGCTCTCTGGATTTGCATAAAGTTGGATTTTATTCTTGAATTCCGTTCATGTGTTTGTGTGTGTGTATGCCATGGTCGGTTTGTCCCATAATCTTAAGCTACTGGGGTTCTGGAGACTCTAAATCTTTTTTCCTAAACTCCAATTTTTGGTAGAATTTTGAGGAAAAATGGGGTGGTTGGCAGATCTGCACCCTCACACACGCATATATATACCTTCTACTTCTCTCTGGCACTCTCTCTTTTTCTCTACTTCTCTCTTTCTCATTTCTTCTGTCCTTCTTTGTATTATATATTCTGTTTACCTCACTTTCTCACACTCTCTACTTTCTTGTCTCTCACACATTCTCTCTACCTCTGTGTCTCTTTCCTTCTTTATTTCTTATGTGAATAGCGAAAAACACAGTCTGTCCTGTGGACATTACAAATCAATGGCAGAATAGCTCAGGAATCCTGAGGATACAGTGAACAGTGACTGATTAAGCACATGCACACAGACTGGCCTGCACACACTCATGCACATACATCCATTGACACACAGAGTTGTGAAGCACAGTGAAGTGTCCTCTTGTGCACCTCAGGTTATGATATATAACATGACAGTAGTGTTAGTTTTGTTAAACTGTTCTTCAATAGAGAAGCTTCGGGGGGTGGGGGGGTGGGGGTGGGGAGTTATGAGTTCTATTTTAACCCACAATGTCCTTTTATTTCCTACCCATCCCTCACCTCCTATTCTGCCCCCATCCACCTTTTACTCTTCTCCTACCCTCTGACGTTCGTCCCATACTGTCCTTTTCAACCTCATACTCATATTTCCCCCCACTTGCTCCTTCCTTCCTCATACTCCTCCCATACGCCTCCCCTCGCCCCACACTTCCTGCTCCTCTGCTTCAACACCCCC